TGCTGCTTAACCCTGTTTGTCACTTGCTGCTTAACCCTGTTTGTCACATGGGTAGTCCTGAATTGGTAGATCTGTTTGAAATCTATCCCATTCAGTACAATAGTAGTGCCAGTGTAGTGGAGAATATCCGCAATGTGAAGACGGGTCTTTGTCTCCATAACACCTGTGAGGAGGTCACTCCTAATGATATTGTCGTGGAGAGATTGTGATGGCTGGGAACATGGAGATACATGGTAATCTTCAGGAGGTTTCCTTGCCCATGTTTGATCTGATGCCATTAGACGTTAAGGCTCCCTTTTGACCTTGTACTGTCGTGCCGCCACCTCTCTTGGGTCTGTCCTGGCAGGATGGTGCTATTGTTGTGTGGAACTTTGTGTAAGGTATGATTCTGAGAGTGTAACTATCAGGCGGTTGCTTGACTAGTCTGTGAGAGAGCTCTCCCAGTTTTGGCAGGGAAGACTGCAGAATTCAAAAGACTGGCTTTGCTGTTGTTATTCGTGGTTCCTAAATAAAGTGCACAGTCGTCTGTATCATTTCATTCCTTTAATGAAACATTTTTTCGAGCTTTGGTACAACTGAATGGCTTGCTAGGTCATTTCAGAGGAGAGGTGACCATCAACCATATTGCTGTGGGTTGCAGTCAACATGTAAGCTAGACTGGGTAAGGATAGCAAATTGCTTTCCATAAAAGTCATCAGTGAAGCAGATGGGTTTTTTTTTAACAAATATCGACACTGCTTTTGTGGTCATTATTAGACTTTTAATTCTAGACTTTATTGAAATCAAATTTCACCATCTGTCATGGTGGAATTTAAACTGTAGTCCCAGAGCATGTTTTAGACTACTAGTCCAGAACAGTTCAGCAGGTCTGGCAGCATCTGTGAAGGAAAAAACCGAGTTAACGTTTCCGGTCCGGTGACCTTTCCTCAGAGTTCTGAGGAAGGGTCACTGGACCTGAAACATTAACTCCTGTTTTTCCCTTCACAGATGCTGCCAGACCTGCTGAGATTTTCCAGCAACTTTGTTTTTGCTCCTGATTTGCAGCATCCGCAGTTCTTTCGTTTTTTTTTAAGGTCCGGAGCAGTGGTTGGTTTATGTCTTTAAATTTGTTCATGGGATCTATGTCCAGTTGGTGCTTTCATTATTCATTCCTAATTGCCCTTGGTGGTGAGCTCTCTGCCTGAACTGCTGCAGTTTATGGTGGGGCTTTCGGTCGAGTGTTAGGAAGGGGGTACCAGGACTTTGATCCAGGGACAGTGAAGGAATGGTACGATAATGCCAAGTATAGAGGAGAACTTGCAGGCTCCTATGCCTCTGTACCCCATGTCTTTCTGGTGGTAGAGGTTGTTGAGTTGGGCCATTCTGTTGCAGGAGTCTTGGTGAGTTATTACAGTGCATCTTGTAGATGGTATGCACTACTGTCACTGTTTGTTAGTGGTGGCAGGAGTACATGGTTAAGGTGGATTCTGTGCCAGTCAAGCTTTATTCTGGATTAGAGCCCAATCACCCTTCAATATTGATTACCTCCCCCACCAACAAGGTGGATGCTTTTTGTGCATTGCAGGACTGGGCTATGTTTGCTCTCCTGTTGCAATAAAGCTGGATCATCTCTGATGAGTTAAAGTTGTTGATTAGCATAACACTATTTCAACTTTTTTAATCCTCGACTAGGACTTTTCAGTCAAGTCAACAGGATAATGCATTAGATTTGGATCTTGCTGAAAATTTATGGTGGTTGAGGAATACACTATTGTTAAAGTGCAAATTGGTGGGAAAGAGAATTCCTGTGAATCGCCACATAGTGCTGACCAATTTTCACCATTCTGCATTTTGATGTTAAGTGCACTTGTGCTTAGCACAAAATTAAATCTATAAATGAATGTGAAGGTACCCTCTTGATGTATGAGTTGTTAATTTTCACTGTAACTGCTAATTAGCTTCTTCCCAGAAAGCAAACACTTCTAAGTGTGGAGGTTTTTCTTGTGAAATATTCTTGGGAGAGGTCATCTCTAATCTTTGATTTGAAAATCCAAAGGTTGTGTTTACTGTGAATGTCCCCACCAGGTGGTGCAAACAGTTGGGCATATGTTCTGCAATGAACTGACTGAAAGTGTAAGTATTCAGGGGAGGAGCTCTACTTGGTATATGACAGACAATGAGGCGGTGGCTGGAGAGGGCGGGCACTCCCACCCCCATTCTTTGCCCTGCTCCCACGAGGACCCAACTTTGACCTCACTATCAGCAGCACACATGCTGATGTCACTGCACGCAAATCGGTGATGTCATAATTGCATGCGCAGTTGCTTCTTGTGAGTCTTCCCTATAGCACCTAAGTGACGTCACTGGCTGCGCCTACGCATGTGCAACAGCCGTAGTGCGTTTTGCATGATAACTCTGAAAATACAAAACTCTCTTGTCTAATAAAGAGCAGCAGCTGAGAGTCTCACTGGGAGAAGTGGAATTAAAATAAGCTTTCCACGTTCTTCGCTTTAGTGTCCCGCATCCAACTTTCACTGTAAAGGTCAGAACATCTGCTTTTCTCCAATTCACTGCATTTTATAATTTAAAATGTAAACTACAATTAATTTGTGCTGATAATTAGGTTCAATTAAACTTTAGGAAGTTGGATCTGGGATCTTGCCAATTGTAAAAGAGAAATATTTTTCAATCACATTATTAAATTCCCCGTTGTGGAACTTCTGTCAAATTCTCAACCACTTATTACAGGAATGGTATGAATGAAATTGTCGTAACCTTAGGATGATCAGAACTTCAGAGCAGTTTGATGGAAATACTGAAGAAGATACAGGATACTGTGGTGTTCCTCTCCATCCTATTGTAATCGATTAGGTTTTTGACTATATTACCAAGATTTTACCACTTGGCCAGCAGCAGCTGAAAAAAAATGCGTTGCACTTTCAACAACTTGCAAATAAAAATACAGACTTTCCGCGCCACATCGGTAGGGTTGAGAGAAAGCAGCTTTATTGACATCCATATCTCCTCCAGTGCTGAGGCAGTGTACATCTGTTTGTTCAGTTTTTTTCTCAACCATTCATCCTTGGAAACAAGGGAGAACACAAATGAAGGCATAGACCTAGCAGGCAAGGCTGGAATGGAGGCTGAACACTGCTATGTTAAAACAGTGACGATATTTCAGAAATAATTCATTGACTGTCAACTGCTTTGGAGGTTTTTGAGATCTTGGAAACTGTTATCTAAATGTAAGTTATGTCTATCTTCATTAAACAGCTGATACAACACTGGACAAATAGCTTCCAGTTCAGAGAAATTTTCTGTTGATGTTTTAGGACTCAAAAATGAGCACATTTGCCATAAAATCACTGTCATAACTAGGTATTTTTTACATTTTTACAATTTTTGACCTGTAAAGAACATAAATTTTAATTTTTATCATTCTGCTTGTGGACCGAAATGTGAAAATGATTTTTTAAAACCAAAGGTTGTGTAAAGGATTGCTGCACTTTTCAAAGCAAACTGTTTGACACTTTAACGTAAGTGCTGTTTCCACTGCTGTTTGCTCAAGCAGTGAACAAGTCTAGTTGCACACAAACTGGAGCCAAGGGATAAGAATAGAGATTTAGCCAGCAGCAAGTAGCTCATTGGTCTGGGGAATGGTGACCTGTTGTCAATAATAAAGGCATTCTCCCTGTCAACAACTATGATTAACTCCAAGGTAACTGAACAGTTCACAGGCAGAGCCATTGTACCTCTGGAAAGCAAAGAACTGTTCTTTCTTTTCAGTGAGAACAGCTTCAGCCTGAAGAAAGCCAGTTTATTTCTCTCTTCAGTTGTTGTAATCTGTGACTTTTAACGAATAGTTGAGATGTTGTAAGTGTGAACTAGCTCCCCTGTACCACTTAAGCAAGTTAAAGTACCCGGAGAAGGAAGATCAAGGAGCAGCCAGTTATGAAAAGGCAAAAGGATCTTCTGAGCAAGCATTCTAAATAGGGACCATTGGACTGTCTTCCCAATCTTTCCCCAACCATGACACCGTGTACTTTTTTCCCGTGTGTGCATGTAAGGGAAGTTTTATGAAGAAATAGCAAAGAAAGAAATTAGTGTTTTAATTATAGAATTATGTTGACAGTTCAGAATTGTTTACCAGTAGCTAGAATTCATTTCCTTGCAAAAAATAGTAATGGTTACTGAGTGTTTGCCATGTAAAGTGATTTGATTTATTGTAGTCACATGCACCTAAGTACAGTGAAAAGCTTTGCTTTGTGAGCAGTACAAGCTTGTAAACAAGAACATATAGATCATAGAGTTATAAGCAATGTTCGAATAAGATTTGCTATCGGGAGCTCGCAAAGAGTCTGTGTTGGCACCATCTTGAATCCAAAGTGATGGTATGTTTATCAGTTTGTTATGCTGGAAGCTCTACATAAATGTGCGTAGAGCAGCATTGTCTTGCTATTTCAGGAAGAAATGTAGTCTTGGTGAAAATCTGTCGGAGCAAGAAACAAGTGTAGAACAGTTGGAAATTTGCAGTAGCAGAAGAGGTAATTTGGGTTCATTGTGTCCATGCTGTATGAGAGCAACTCTTGTAGGTATGATGTATGTTGATTTAAATTAGATGTATATGATGATAAGCCACAGTAATAAACAGATCTTTGTCAAACTGGCAGTGTTTTTAATCAACCTGTTCAGGAATGTTATGACACACCTCTGGAGATGGTGGGACCTGAACCTGACTTTCCTGGCTCAGGTGGGGACACAAGTGCCACAGAAGCCCCCCATGGACATCATCTACAGAATACAGCCTGTTCCGATATGTTATTACATGCCCATGGAGCAGATGGGACTTGAACCTGGGCCTTCTACCTCCGAGGTAGGGACACTACCACTGCACCAGCAGGCCCCTAGAGATGTTGTTATAGATGTTTACTAATCGACCTGTTCAGAGATGTTATCATTTCTTTGGAACAGGTGAGACCCGAACCTACCTAAATGGTACCTTGCTAGCTCAGAGGTAGCAGTACTATCATTGTGCCTCAAGAGGGTCCCAGAGCTGGTGTCATAAATATCCCTGGTTGTTAAGATTCTGATGGACTTTATTAAGTGGGATAGATTGAGAAGATCCGTTGATATCTTATTCTTGTGGAACCATGTTGTGCAGACTTAGTTTCCCATGTTTGCCAACACAGCAACAGTGATCACACTTTAAAAGAATTGAATTGGCTGAAAAGTACTTTAAAAATACCCTGTGTATGTGAAAAGATTGAATTGATCATAACGTCTATAATCCATGAAATTGTGGTTAAGCTATTGCATATTGTTTCAAAATCTGAAGCTGTACGTGAAGGAAACTCTTGATGATTCTGTCACTGGTAGTCAGTTGCTGAACTCAAGCACTGCTGCTGGTAAACATCTGTGGAAAACTCACAACTCACTTGAAGCTTATTGTAGATAAAGGATTTTTCAGAAATTTTCAGTCATTTTTCTTGTCCAAATTGTGCTGCAAATATGACAAACGTCCTCACTTTAATTTGATCATGTTTGTTCTAATTAAGAAGAAAATGATTTGACTGGAAGAATATCAGCAGCATTTCTAACGACTAGCTTGGTTGTTACTGTACAAGATTGCTGCAGCATGGAACTCCTCAACCTTATTGATGCAAATACAGGTCAGGTATCCTTTTCCTGTGCTGTAGATTTTTAGGATTATTCGTTCAGTGGATGTGGAGCTCGGTGGCTGTGCCAGGATTTATCATCCGTTCCCCTTGTCCTTGAGAAGGCGTTGGTTAGCTGCTGCCTTGAATTGATGCAGTCCATTTGGTGTAGGCAGACCCACAATGTCATTAGGGAGTAAATTCCAGGATTTTGACCCAGCAACATTGAAAGAACAGTCATAGATTTCCAAGTTGGAATGTTGAGTGGCTTGAAAAGGACCTTGCAGATGCGGTGTTCTCTTGTATCTGCTGCCCTCTTCTTTCCAAATAGAGGTGGTCATGGTCTTGGAAGGTGTTACCTAAGGATCCTTGGTGATTTCTGTGGTGTGTGTTGTAGGTAGTGTATACTGCTTCTACTGAGTGTCAGTGAGGGAGGGAATAATGTTTTCTGGATGTGGTGCCAATCAAGTGCTCTGACCTGGATGGCATTAAACTTAAGCAGACATGGCAAGTGCTTTTAATTTTTCAGTTGAAACTCCTTATTGTTTTGCACTTGTCACATAATGCACATACATTTACAGCTAAGTGTCAGGTCTGTCAGTTCCATATTACAACAATTTTCATTTATGTAGAGCCTTTAAATATAATAAGAGTTCAGTGCTTTGCGTCAAACTTAATTCCACTTGCTCAGTCTTTTCCTGTTACCTCTGCATTTCCTTATTTCACGCAATACTTGTGTACTTTGAAACACTTTTTTTTTCTATTGTTTCATTTTTCATTTTTGTATATAAAATATGTAATTAAGATATTTTGTTCTAATTGAATGAGTTAAAAAAAAAATCAGCAAATGATCTTGTATGATGAATTTTGCTTGTAGTAGAAACTTTGAATCAGAGTATTGATCATCCACTAGTTTCTTCATTCAAATAATTGAAGTTGTTGCTTTCTATGCATTCGATTTATCAGAAGACAAAGTACTGATTGGCTACATTTGACAGTATAGCATTGATTCCGTCCCTGCACCACCAGCACACCACCACCACTACGTAGTCATACAGCATGGAAACAGACCCTTTTAGTCCAAGCAGTCCATGCCAGCCATAATCCCAAACTAAACTGCCTGAGCTGGGCCCATATCCCTCCAAACATTTCTTATTCATTTACTTATCAAAATGTCTTTTACGTATTATAACTGTATCTGCATCCACCATTTGCTCCGGAAGTTCATTCCACTCACAAAGCACTCTGGGTAACAAGGAAAAAAAATTCCCCCCATGTCTTTTTTAAATCGTTCTCCTCTCACCTTAAAAATATGCCTCCTAGTCTTGAAATCCCCCACCCTAAGGAAAAGACACCAGCCATTCACTTTATCGATACCCTTCACTATTTTATAAACCTCTATGAAGTCATCTCTCAACCTCCTAAGCTCCAGTGAAAAAACTCACAGCTGTTCAGTTTCTCCTTATAACTCAAACTCTCTACTTCTGGCAACAATCTCTTCTAAACCCTCTCCCAGTTGAATGATATCCTTCCTGTAACAGGGAGACCAGAATTGGACACAGTATTCCAGAAGAGGCTGAATACGGAATACGTTTATGTGAGAATTCCTGAAAAAATATCACGAATAGAAATTTTTGCTTGCATCAAATTGCCAATTTGTAATTACTGAATAAATAAGCTTCCATTAGGAACAGTTAAGGTAGGCAGGGAGAAACAAATCTGGGCACAGTGAGGCAATTCTGTGGAGTGTTGTAGAAGATAGAGTTCTTAGTTTCTTAAAGCAATCCAGCTGTAATCTTGCAGTGGTCTAGTCTTATGTTTGTATATTGTGCTGTGAATGACTTGTCAAGATTTGCTTTCCTCATGGTTTTCCTCACAGGTGCCTTTTCCAGTCCTCCAAGGGGAAGGTGTGGAATACCTGGGCCGTGCAGATGATGCTGTGATCGCTATCTCTAATTACAGACTCCATATTAAATACAAAGATTCTTTAATCAATGTAAGTACTATTTTCTGGATACTGTTGTGAATCTGCCATAACTTTGTCAGAAAGTGTGTTGATGGGTGTTAGAATTTTAAATTAACCACTTGCTGTCAAATTAAGCGGTTAGTTTTCTGTTTCCAATTACGCCCTCTTCATTCACTTGATTAATAAAAAAGGATCAATCGTCCTCTAAGCATTTATAAATTCAATCACTTCCTGAAAGATGAAGGGTTAGAGAGGAAACAGGGTTGAGGAGAGGCATTTCACAAATGATTTATTGAAGTGGACTAATTCAATCATGGGAATTGAACTAAACTTATAATTTCCTTTTGACTAAATGACAGTTTAGTAACGTGTCTAATAAATTGATCCGTGGTATTGCCACAGTCCTAAAGAAAGGTCACTGGATTTGTGACATTAACTTTGCTTTCTCTTCACAGATGCTGCCAGACTTGCTGAATTTTTCCAGCAATTTCTGTTTTTGTTTCAGATCTTCAGCATCCACAGTTGTTTTTTTTTTGGCTTGGCAGGGAAATTGGGATGTCAGTTGTTTAGTGGGAATTGTGTTGAGACAGTGTGAAAATGGTCACTTAGATGAGATGATTTCGGAGAGGGCCGCAGCAGAGATAATAAAGAATTATAAAGATAAGATAAAATAAAGAATGTATAATCTGGAAATCTGAAGTGTTACTTTTTGGGGAAGATATTTAATTGTCTGAAGTAGAAGATTCTATTTCACTGTGGAAAGATAAACCGAAGGGTTTTTATATCTTGGTCAGCATTTATCCCTCAGCTAAGACTCAATACAGAACCAGTCATGTTTTTTTTCAATCCTGGTTGAGTTCACTGTGTGCACGTTGGCTACCATGTTTCCTGCATCAAAACAGTGACCACATTTTAAAAATATTAAGTAAATTGTAAAGCACTGTGGCGCACCTAAGATCATGAGTGGAGCCTGGTTGATATGCAGTACATTTAGTTTGCTCTGGCTCTGCTTACATTGTGTGTTGACTGCTGTGTTTTAACATTAGAACACAGCAAGTGTTTTCCATGTGTAAGGTTCCTGCCTTTCTTTCATCTATTATTTTGATTTCATTTTCCCCTTCTCTTTCCTTTTGTTCTGCTTTAGACGTTTCTGCAGGGTGTGGACAGTGACATCTCAGTAAGTACTGTGTGTGTGTGTACTTCACTTCTGGTTACGCATACAACAGTGTATCCAACACAATTTATGTGAACAGTCCTGATCAAAGATGTAGGCTTTAAAGTTCCACCACAATGCGGTGTTGCCAAGTACGTAGACATGAATAATGTGTACCCAAAACAATTTAAAGAAGCTTCAGGTGTGCTCATCTTTATCCTTATCTTCATGTGGACATAAGAAAGACAAGTCATGTGGATACTGTCTCAGTAAATACACATACAAGAACTCGGTGCTTCTAGCAGTTTTTTCACACGTCTTCACTCCCTTATGATTTTGTGCACTGTCAGGTTAGCACCAACCAAACAGTTTGCTGATAATCATATGTAGAATATGTAGCCATGTGGAATGATTTGATCCTAGTGTGCGCCTGGAGCTATCGATCAAAGCTTTTGGTAATGTTGACCGTTGAAATGCCAGAGTGACAGACATGTTTTATTGCTAAACATTCATAGAAAACACAAAAATGTAGAGCACTTGAATTAACCTAACCTGCATGAGTCCCTGTGCTGTACAGTCATTCACTCATTGGTGCTTGGCGTCAGTGGTGTTCCTTAAAACACTGATAATTGGACCATGAGTCAATTTCCTGCTTAAGGTTCAGTCGCAAGAGTTGACATAGTTTTGTCAGCTCGAGAAGTGCCATTGTTAAATATATTGTGAGGGAAATAAATTAATTCCGTAGAGATTACAGTAAAAGTAGGAATGTTGGAAATACCTTCAATATTTGAAATACATCAGTTAGAATTTTGTAGAAGACTTTTTTGTCAGACTTGTGCAGATTCTGATTTTATTGTATGCTGTTGCAGTGTTAAGTTGGCTGGGCCTTGTGCAAAAAGTCCTGTAATGATTTTCCCTGGGCACAGCTCTGATTTGGAAAAGGTTACGTTATGAACTAGAATTTTGAAGTTTTGGATTGTAACAAGTTTGCAGAGTGAATCTCAGAATTTGACTGGAATGGCTGATGTGGCTTCTGCCAGAGCTGACACTGCTCTTGTGTTTCTATTGTTGCAGCCTGCTTGAATTATTTTGCAGAATTTGTAACTTAAATATATTTGACTTGTGGCGTTCTCTTCCCTATTCCAACACGAAGCCACCTCACTTTGTTAGAGATGCAGATGTTAGTTAAAGGGTAGGGAAATTACCACACTTTTAGCAGCTCGGTAGTAAACTGAAGAATTCTGCTCAGCCAGCAGTTTGGTTGTAGTTGTCTATTGAATGTCCATTTATGATGATGGGAGAGAAAAATAAATTGGGAATTTGCATTCTCACCTGACTTTGCAAACCTCAAAATGTGGATTCTTAAAATGTAAAATAAAACTACAAACTGCAGATGCTGAAAATCTGAAACAAAATCAGAAATTACTGGAGAAACTCAGCAAGTCTGGCAGCATCTGTGGAGAAAAAGCTTTCTTTCCATAGATGCTGTCAGACTTACTGAGTTTCGTCAGCAAATTCTGTTTTTCGCTCTTAAATTTTTGGATTTAGAAACGTTCTAATGATACTGACAAACAGGAACTGAATTGTAGCTTAATTTCATTCAATCTTTGCTGTTATAAATGAGGTGAAGTCATTGTCAGCACTGCATGGAGTGTTCACTTTTCACTGTCATGAGATCCATGTGGACTTAATATATTGCCAGACTATGTAAATGAATCCAGCTTGTCTGATGTGAAACTGTGCAAATGCAATAATGGTTACTGTAGTATACATTATGACTGTTTAAGACTGCTGTTAAAAGTAATATTTCTTAGCAGGGTTTGTTATTGGTTTCTCTGATAACTGACGTATTTGTGTCTTATTACAGGTGCCTATACGACTTATTGAAGCTGTTGAGAGTCGGGACATGTTTCAACTTCACATTGTATGCAAAGATTCCAAGGTTGTCAGGTATGTTGTACCTCATCGATTGATATGGAATACAGACAACAGTGCCAGAGCATTGAAAGTGAGCCTCTCCAGCACATCACACCTTTACAGGGCATTGTACTGGTAGAATTCTCAACACAAAGGCACGTAATGTATCCAATCTCTAACCATGCCTATACAGATTCAAGCCCCCAGCAATATAGTCCTGAGCTCTCACGCTGAAACCAGTGCTGGTGGACACTAATGGCTTTCACACAGGTGGATCTCTCAGATGGGATGCTGTTGTGTTGTAAACATGGTGCACCAGATATAAATGGGAATGTCGAGAAGAGATGTAATTCGTGTGTATTTGAGGAGTGTTGTGATATGTTGTATACAGACATACCAGGAGAATACACTATTTTCAGAACTATGCCCAGCTCATGCCTAGAAGCTGCCATTCATTGATTTGGATATCATGCAGGTGGCTTATCAGAAAATATTTCTTCAAAGCAGAAAGCTTCGTTATGTTGATAAATGTCTAATTTTTAGATCTTTCCTATTTGATATTATTGCAGCTAACAGACAATGAGACGCATATGGATTAAGCAAAAGAAACACTGTGTTCCAGCCTGGTTTCCTTCAGTGTTGTAGGAATTGTTCTTTTTCTTTAGAGAGTTCGCAAGAAATACTGGGAAAAGATATGTTTTACTTTATGAAGTAGAAGGCCAGGCATTCATGGATCCAATTTTTGCTTTTAAATCTCTCTTTGTCAATTGAATTGTTCTGGAGATTTTGTTTATTATGTGGTTATCAAATTAAACTGTGCAATGGCTGGCTATTCACCAACATTGAACATGCTTTACTGGTTCAGCCCTGCATTTTATGCTTTTTAAGTAACTTTCAGGGAAATAATCGTGTATGAACAATGTTCAGAGCTAAAAATCTAGCATTTTTCCTGAATTAGTTTGTCAATATCCCTTGCCTACTGTTGTGTCCTTGGCTTAATTACCAACACGGTGACAGTAATTGGAGTATAATTTGAATTCAAATACCTTTATATCCTGGACACGGAACAGGAGGACTGAACTTTAAGAAGTAGAGCACAGATATAGGCAATAAATCTTTGAAACTCTCATTATTTAAGTAAATATGCAATCATATTCTCTTTATCACAATTATATCAATTGCTGTTAATCAGATGGTGCTCTTCTTGCATTTCAGAATTGCAATTATGCTAGTGCAGGAGACCATTTGGCCAATTGATTCTATGCCAGCTCTCCAAATGATCATCTCACTTAGTGCCGTTCTCCTGTCATGTCCCCATAATCCTGAATACCTTGAATCAACCTGCCTCCAGAACACACTCTCAGGCAGTGCATTTGTTTCTTGTACTAATTACTTTAAATCTGTGTGGTCTTGTTCTCCATACTTTCACAAGTGGTGGAGAAGTTGATTTTTCTTGATGAGTTGTGCTTTGGATCCGTGATAAGTGTCTTTTTTTAAATGTGAGATTGTAAAGGGGACCAAAGTGAGTCTTACCACCTCCAGTCTTAGCTCTCCTTTGTCACTTTCAGTAAACAGTGAGACATTTGTCGTCTTCCTTCACTCAAATTTATATGGCAACAAATACATGAGCTCTGCTGACAGGATATTGTAATATTTGGGTGGTCCATGAAGTCTGTGTTGCCTGGTAGTGTCATTCCAGAGGCTGTTTTTGTCCTTGGTTAATGGATGATTTTGAAACCATAAGGTAAACATACTACTGTAGTCCTTGAATTCAGAATGTCTGCTTTTGTCTTTTGACTTTGCTTATTTGCAGCGTGAGGAAAGTGGAAAGCTTTGATTCCAAGGGTTTTCCTTGGACCTCGGTTGAACAACTTGGGAACTATATTTAATGCACGTCTTTAACTTATCAGTAAACAGCGTTCAGTTTTTATGCTCTTAAAAAGAACTGATCCAACTATTTTAATTCAGAACATAAACAACACAGTAAAGTTGAAATATTATGCATAAGAGTTAGTGTCAAATAATTTAATTGACTTTGAATTAAGGGGTCACAATCCTATTTGATCCAGAGCTATCCTTCTGACCCCACCACCTCTTTTTCATAATATTGTCTATTTCTATGCTTACCACACCTCTATATTGAAATATTACACTGCTCTTGTAGGAATATCAGTCGACCAATCAGCCCATTGCATCTGCTCCTCCATTCAGTTAGACCACGGCTGATCATATACCTCAGTGCCACCTTTTCTCACTATCCCCAAATCACCTTAATGTAACTTGTACCCAGAAATCTATCAGTTTCTGACTGGATCATGCTCAATGATTTAGCTTCCTTAGAGAAAAGGGTAGAGAGTTCTGTAGATTAACTGCCCCCCCGCCGAGAAGAAATTCCTCCTCCTTTCTGTCTTAAATGTTCTATCTCTTATTCTGACACTCCTCTGTCTAGCCTTCTGTTTACTAACCATTCATAAGCTTCAGATCATCGAAGCCTCTTCTGCCTGTACCCATCTCATACCAAGTGCCATTGCATATCCTCCTTGTTTTGCTGACATTTCTCTCGTTTCTCTTTATGTAACTGTCTTCTGAGCTGTATTCCTACAATTCTTGCATTTTGTTTATCCTTCTTCCCTCCTTCTCAGTATTGGTGGTTGTACCTTGATGTGTGAAGACACCGTGCTCTGGAATTGTTTTCTTAACATCTGTACCTTCTTTTCCTTCCTTTCCTCCTTTTCATACATTCTCACACCTTTACCTAGCTTTTGATCACCTACTAATACCTCCATCCTTGATGGAAAATTTGTTCAACTTCAGTGATGGACTGAAGGTCAGATGATCTCTCTTGGCTAGCTAGCATCAGAATGCTTCCTTTAGGTGCATGTTACCTTTCCTGCTCACCTGCCTTTTGCGAATTAACAATATGGATTGATTCATTTTGGACTATTGTGGCACAGTAGTCACCAACCCCCACCAGCCAGCAGACCCGGGTTGTTACAGTCATGTAGTTTACAGCTCATATAGAGGGACACAGACTGTTCTTAAGGGTCCTAGCAATCTCACCCTTGAAGCCCAAGAATTTTCATCATCCTTTTGCTTTATTCATAATGATGTGTTTCACCTACTACAATTCCATATGATACACTGTGGTGTGCAGTGGAATGTACCTGATAAAACTAACATTTAGTACCAACAACTGGTGGAAAATGGGTTTGCAAGATGAATTTCAGCACAATACCCTTACATTGGCAGACTATGATTTCTAAAAGTGGGCACTGCTAGAATGGTTATACTTTGTATTCTGTTAATTTAAGACTGAATGATATCTAATTGAGATCATATCTTGACTGTTTTTGAAGGTTAATCCTAAATATTCGAGTGTCTAACATATAGGTTTGAATAAGAATATTTACACATTTGACTGTTTGTATTAGAGTGTGAATTTTGTTTTTGGGTGTGCTCTAGTTTTCTAAAGTCTTACTGTTCCACAGGTGTCATTTTTCTACATTTAAACAATGTCAGGAATGGCTGAAGAGATTAAATAAAGTGATTGCCCAGCCAACAAGACTGGAGGATTTGTTTGCCTTCGCATATCATGCTTGGTGTCTGGGAATCTGTGCTGATGAGGAAGATCAGCATGTGCACCTCTGTCATCCTGGTGAGTGGAGAGTGGTAATCCCTCGGTTAGGGAAGTCTGTGCCATAGATTGGTGAGCAGTGTTTGAGTTTGGCAGTTCTTGATCTGCCATCTGAGAATTATTCTCGTCTCTGGTAGCACCTTTATCAAGTTGGGTGGGTTGTATAATTTCACATGTACCACTGTCCTGGCTAATAAAGCAAATCAGGAACACAAAGAAAACATTGAAATAAAGTCTTAATATTAGGTAGCTATTTTGTGTTATAATTAAACCTGACTGTTAGTTCTTCCTGTATTTCTTTAGGAGATCACGTTTGTCACCGCTTCGAAATGGAAGTGGAAAGAATGCGTTTTGATCTGCAAAATGTCTGGAGAGTCAGTGAGGTCAACAGCAATTACAAGTGAGTTAATTCTTATAGGTAAAGATAGCGAATTAACATGTGACAGACCTGAACAGTTGAGGCCAGGAATATTTTTTTAATCAACCTGCTCAGGGATGTTATGACATCTCTGGAGCACGTGATACTTGAATCTGGGTTTTCTGGTCCAGAAGTAGGGACAGTGCCACTAGGCCGTTGTAAAAGATGGCGAATGATTAAAATAAAGGAAAATTTTGAGTAAACTAAAATACAGCTCCAAAGGCCAAGATATAGGCTGGGTCACCAGATATGACAGAGCAAATATACATGCACAAAAGGATAATTGGATAGGTTTACAAAGCAGATTACATCAATCCCCTTTGTTTTTGTTACCTGCTGATGTCCCTAGTGAGCTTCCCCTTATTGATACCCCCAATGAACTATCAATCTCTCCTACTGCATCACCCTGAAAAATCTCTGCACAACTGCAGTAAGACGATGGACTCCATCCATGACCTTTGTATTGAAGGTCATTTGAAGCTTGACAGAATCCTGACTGAGTGGCTCTGACCTGTTTTCATGATTTGGCTTTATAGACTAAAATATCCATTCATCAATTTGTCACTGACAGCATGTGTGGTCTCCAAACCATTCTCACTTTATCCTTTGCTTTTCCATTTCCTTCACCTCTCACCCTTCCTCCTCACCCCCAAACTTATTTTAACTTATCTCAGCCTTGGTATTCTATTTCTGTTTCGAATAACAACTTGTTCTCTGTTACCTTAGCCTTGACTATCCGACCTTTTTTCCCTCTCCATGCATTAGTCACACTGTATAAATAAAAATGTGAAGAGTTCAGATTTAGCTCCAGAATGTCTAGCACAAAAGTTAAGGCTGATATTTAAACCTAGTCCTGAGGGAGAGTTGCATTGTCTAAATTATTTCATTGACTCGTAGAACAGGCTTGAAGGGCTAGGTGGCCTACTTCTCTCTCATGCTCTTGAGTCTTTTTGATGAGAAATTAAATCAGTACCCTGTCTGTTCTCTCAGGTTGATGGAGAGGATCCCATGCTACTTCTCCCTATATGGCACTTATCCCTGTTTCCAGGCCAATATTTATGCTGAGTTGCGAATTAAAGCTATCTGTTAGATTGAGGAGCCATTCTCATTAGGTGTGAGAACAGTGGCATCTACATTGCAAGGGTGGCTGAGATTGTTTCTGTGCTTAAACTGTTAAGTTATTCCTGCATCATGGATGCATCAGTGCACTATATACTGGTTTAAATTGCTTAGGCACCTTTTTTATTCATTAATGGGAGGAAGACATCGCTGGCTGGGAAGTTTTTATTGCCCATCCCTAATTGCCCAGAGTGCAGTTCAGAGTCAAACACATTGCTGTTGGTCTGGAGTCACATGTAGGCCAGACCAGGTAAGGATGGCAGTTTCCTTCCCTACAGGACATTCGTGAACCAGATGGGTTTTTCCAACAATCAACAATGGATTTATGGTGATCATTAGATTCTTAATTCCAGATATTTTGTTTGAATTCAAATTCTACTATCTGCCGTGGCAGGATTCGAACCCCGGCTCCCCAGAATGTTATCTGAGTCTCTGGATTAACAGTTCAGCCATCACCTCCCCTACAAATAGTTTTGGAGTGTGGGGCAAGAGAGGACCCAGGAAGAGGTGGGGAGTGGGAAATAGGGGAAGGGGTAATCGAGGGAAGGAGTGTTGGGGATCGGCAAGCATGAGGGACCTGTGAAGCGGGTAGAGATTTGGGAGTGGGGAGAGGGAACTAGAGGGGATGTGGGAAAGAAGAATGTTACCGTGGAGGAACGGAGCGGGAGGGGAGAGGGCCTCCTGGGTCCTGGCCCCTCCTTGTTCTCCCTTTTCACTGAAATGCTGTACTCTTGGTGGGAGTTGCCCCCCCAACCTCCCCCAAACAACATCCCCTCTTCACCACCACTGAATGCCATTTCAAAATCGCATGCACTTCCTTGTGCGTGCACAGTTCTACATGTACGCTTGACATTAGAATGCATGACATTACATGTGAAATCTACATGATGGCTTGTTTGGAATTATGTGCAAATGTGCTCCTGAATGAGTGCCAAGACATAGTTGCCCACAGTCGCAGGTGTCAATGAACGCTGCCTTGATTAAACTAATTTGTTATGTAAGATGTGCCACTTGTGAGATGACTGGTATATAGCTTGTTTTGTTTAAAGCCATGTTATAGTGACTATTTTTGACTGTCTTCATGTGAAATTGAGTTAACTTGATTATAGGTCATTATGTAAAGTAATTCCAAAATGCCTTCCCCCAATGAATAGTTATAAAATTCGCCAATAATGATGCAATTTATTTGACTCCCAGTCTTTAAACCGTGATCCCGTTCCTTAATAACTCAAGTCTGTCACTCCTCTTGTACATCTCTTGCCCAGAGTTTATCCCTTTATTCTCACTTATTGTCTTTGTTCTTAAAAAAAAGATTAGTTTCCTGAAGGTTTATTTTAAAATACCAACCTTCTCTTGCCCACCACCTTATATTGGATAAATCTTTCTTAGAATTTACCTAGCTTCTACCTTTATCACCTCCTCACTGCTGACCTTTTCTTCAGCTGCTTCTTGTATGTCACCCTATATCTTCTTTATCTTTCTTCCATTCAAAACCTTCAAGTTCATCTATTCTTAAAATAATGTCCATCACCTACATTCCCTTGTACCTTATTCCAAATGAGGTTGTGACTATGAACTTTTCAAACTTTTGGATGCGTGATCTTTAAGTGCGTGTTTGAAATTGGTCTTTGAACACATTGCATTCACTATACCTCTCTGAATGACAGCATGACCCCTCTACCCCATTACTAAATATTCATTAGGTGAATACATGTTAGTATTATCTGCTTTTTACAGTTGGGATTTCCTAAATACAGTCATGAGAGAATTAGAAAGAATCCTCCATGCATAAATGTGTTTCTTAATTTGACAAACAAGTCTTTAAAGAAGTGTTCTGTGCTTTGCAAAGTCAGAGCACTGCACGTTATAGCAAGAGAAGATTCTACAACAGCATGCAAATTTCAATGTGCTCTTGTGCACTGGTGATATTACATGTATGTATTCCTGAAATACCAGCCAAACCAATGCAATTGCCAAAGGTCATTGAACTTGTGGTTTGAAGCTGAAAAAGACATAAGGTCTCATAAGATAAGCAATGTTCGTCACTTGCCAGTAAATCCCGAAACTTGGATCAAGTGACAACATTTAGATAGCCTTGTAGTGATTCCTTCTAAATGGAAATTGTTGCTTTGTGTGAAATAGCAACTTTTTACACAGTACGAACGAAAAGATATTCAGGGACAGATCCAAATTATAAAGTTTTACATTAACTAGCATTAAAGTAAAAATACATCAGGAAAGATGAAATGTACACAGTAGCTCTAGCAAGGATCATTAGGCCGTGTTCCTGTGAAGGGGTACAGTGGATTTTGTGCTGCATGAATGATCTACGTCTAAAAAGTGGAGTTATGTGCACATTTTGTATGGCTGTAAAAGTATGCTGTACGTAAATACTGTACAGATGTGTAAGTGGGTACTGCAAGCACCTTCAGCAGCTGTCATGCCAGAGAAATGCTAGTCCTAGTGACATATCTAATTCTGCATGGACTGTAACTTAATTAGTGAATAAATATTATAGCACTGCCAAATGTGTACAGTGACTTCGGATTTCTCTGGATGAATAGTATTCATATGCAATAGCCCAGTTCTTTATCACAATAATCTTGGAAAGTGGCCTGTTCTATCGTGTTCTCCTGTAGCATCTGTACAATGATGTTCTCTCTTCCCTGCTGTGAAATCTATGGCTTTGCAGCTTTTGTTTTAAACAGTGAACTACCCTTTGTACAATATCTGCATTGTGTCCCCTTTTTGTTCTGACTGCAATATTTCTGATGATTCTGATATTGTCTATAATTGTATTTTTACAGTGCTTTGGCACTTGAGCTCTGTGATGTCTGTGCACAGTGGTCCTGCTCTTTTCTGACTATGACTGTATTTGAAAACATACAAATTAACCCTATTTCTTACTCCTAATTTGTTGTAATTGTAAAATGAGAAAGATTAGATGATGCCACACCCATTTTGTCAGGTGTCATGCAGGTGTGGCTAGGTGCTGCCAAAAACAACACTCATCTCTCACACTTGTGTTAATTTGAGACTGTTGTTGCACCCTACAGTCTATAATAAGGAACAGCAGGGAACGACTAGGAAGTTGATCAGGGCAAATAACTTGGAGCATGAGAGGAAGCCAGCTAGGAATTTTTTTAAAAACAGTTAGTTTCTACATGTATCTAAAAGGAAAAAAGTTAGTCCTCAAGAGAATAAGAATAAGGAGTTAACAGAAGATAAAAAAATGGCAGATGCAATGAATGAATACTTTGCTTCCATTTTAATAAGAGGATATAAAAACATCTCCTATTCCTGGAAGTAATGAGGTTGAAGGAAGAGAGGAGCTTGGGTGAATTTATAACACTAGGGAAACTTCTTAAGGTTTTTGCAAAGATTTGTAGCTTGGGTTGTGGGTGAGGTTGTTGATTTGCTCGCCAAGCTGGCTTGTTTTCGTTCAGACATTTCGTCACCATGCTAGGTATCATCATCAGTGAGGCCTCTGATGAAGCAATGTTGTTCTACTCCGCTTGAAATTTACACTTTCCGATCTGTTATGGTGAGTTGTCATTTCCGGTTCTGTCCTGTATGGATTTGTATGTGGAGTCCAATTCTATATGTTTGTTGACTGCATTATGGGTTGAGAACCATTCCTCTAGGAATTCCCGTGCATGTCTGTGTTTGGCTAGGGCTACTATGGTTATGTTGTCCCAGTTAAACAGATGGCCTTCATCGTCCGAGTGTACTGATATTAGGGAAAGTTTGTCGTGTCGTTTTGCTGCTAGCCGACGTTCGTGTATTCTGATGGCTAGTTTCCTTCCTGTCTGTCTGATGTAATGTTTGTGGCAGTCCTTATATTATATTTTGCAAACTACGTT